GCTAAAGACGCCTACGCACACATAAATTATTGAAATAAAATTAAACCATGTGGTAGTCCCAAAATGACCTAGTTTGTGTCGAGTGTAGATTAAACTATATATAATATATCATGTTTGTCCGGAAATGACCTAGTTTGTGTCGAGTGAGCGTGTGGGTGGGTGTGCGTCTCTCTCTCTCTCTCTCTCTCTCTCTCTCTCTCTCTCTCTCTTGCTATAGAAAAATAAAAAATTAAACCCCATTTTATTTTATTTCAGGTTCAAATACTGTGATTACATCCCGTGACTTGACGGCCACAGATCTGGATAGCGATGACAAGACTATTATTTACACTCTGTCCACGGATCCAATGATTGGTCGATTGATGTTTGTAAATGACGATGTGTCGTATGTCTTATCGGCCAGAAGTCCAGCAAATACTTTCACACAGGAAGACATAGATAATGGTGAGCAATATCTCAATGTTTGTGGCCTATGCAATCTGTGGCCATGGTGGCTCAGTGAGTAAGACATTAGCTTGTTAATCTGGAGGTCCCATGTTCGATCACTGTGTTGACGGAGAAAATTCATCGAAATAATTTGGCCTGGTTCCCCCATGTCAGTCTTGTAGGGCTATGGACAACATATAGTTGTTTGGATTGGGACGGTAAACCGAGGTCCCGTGTATACATTGGCATGCATGTAAAAGATCCCTTGGCAGTAGGAAGTTGATGCCAATATAGAAAATTTTCGCCCATCCAAATGACTAGACAGCTGTCATTGTCAGGCCCTTCGTCCTGCACCACTGACAAGGGGAAACCACGTCAAAAATTATTCATATCGTCTGTGAAGTTGCAAAAGGTTGTATCTTGTTTTTTTTGATGAAAAATGATTTTTGGCATTTCTGATTTCCCCATCGTATGGCGCATCTTTTTATCTAATAATCATATTCCTAGTCCAATTGAATAATTTACGTGTCAAATTGTCGTAACTCGGTACACAAAAAAATGACGGTGGATTTCTTTAAATGGACTGTATGAGAATTTTTTCCTGGTTGATACAACGCCGAACCGTAAAAGATCAATCTTGTATCTTTTATAGAAAAACATTAACGAAGTCTTTAGTCTCTCCTGTAAAGTTAGGAAAAAAGGAGATACGACCTTTTGCCACTTCACTGACGATATATTGTTACACATAATCTCTTTAAAATGTGGCAGGATATACATGTGACTGTACTTTCTCATTCTCATGTTAGAACTAATTCAATGTATATGTTTCTATTTCAGGTTATTTCATGTTTATTCATGAACAAGGGGAGAGAACTGGTAGAGATAAGTTTAAGTTCATGTTGTCTGATCCAGATGGTAATGATTTGATTGATCAATCTTTCTTTATTACCATATTAGGTAAGTATTTAGAGAAATGAATAATTAACATGATCCAAACCATTTTTATACGCCCACATTTTGATTTGGACCTATATTGTTGTCGCCCCCTGTCCGTCTGTCCATTTATATTCTGATTTTGATGAAACTTTAAAAATAGGTTTATATTCTGAAGATCTCAATTCCTGTTGATATTGGCATGCATCAGACCGTAATTTCATGGATTATGGCCCCTGATTGTACGAAAAGTTGCTTTTTTTAGCTTGTTCTCTGTCCATCTCTGGTGAACCTTGCATGGCAACCCCTTGTTTTTTTTGTGAAGCAAACTTTTGCTCTATACTGCAATTTTATGGAACAGTTTGTCTAAATTGATTATCAAATTTATTAAAACAATTTATTAATCTGTTGCAAACTGCAATGTGGTGAAATATAAATCCATACAAGGAAATGAAAAGAAATGAAGGGGGGTTTAACGTCCTACTGTTCTACTCTTAAACCGGGCTAATAAAGACGGGCATATGCCATACAGTGTACTATGATGGAAATTTTGCCCGGGCAGTGGTGCTACGGCCTACTCTTATATCGAATACCAACTGCCAAGGGATCTTTTACGTGCGCGCCATTGTGTACATGGGACCGGGACGAGACAGCTGTCAGGCCCTCCGTACTGCATCACTGACAAGGGGAAACTACGCCGGAAAATCTGGATGAACTTTCTCGGCCAATGCAGGGAACGATCACCCAACCTCCAGGCTAGCGAGCCAGCGTCTTACCCACTTAGCCACCGTGACCCCCCCCCCCCCCCACAAGGAATATAAGACCAAATACGGTTCATCAGTTCTGTTCAGTATTCGACTTCCTCTACAGATGACAGTTATTTACTTTAAAAGTCTTCTTAGATGAAGTCTGGATCAATGATTTTATCAGGGTTGATGGTACTTATTTTCAAAATTGGCAACCCCTTTAAAAACAATCGTTGAGATGGAATCAAAAGTTATTAAAGATACATTATATGGAGATAGATAACGAGTAGGCAGTTCGCACTATAATAGTTAACAACTAGATAATGTAAAGGGAATATGCTGAAAATTTCATTCAAATTGATCCACTCTGAACCGAGATATTAACGATTGAGTTTTAGACCTAGCCTCGATCATCATTACTACAGTAGGTATGATAAAAAAACATAGTCTCGATTATCCACTTTTCAATTAATCGTCACTGAACATTGAGCAGCTGATCTGATTCAAATCCAGTGAAAATCTGACACATAAGATGGCATCTAGAGTTGATTATGGTCTGGATAGGTTAATTAATGTCTAATTAATAATTTAGAAAACATTTCAGGCCTAAAGAAAGACTTGCAATAGGTAGATTTAACTCTATAATGCATGTTTAATATTTATTCTCCATCTTGATTCTATTAACAGATGATCGATTCCCACCAACAGAAGAACAGAACCAACAGTTTATAATCGAAGAGGGTGAGAGTCGGAAAATAACAACAGAGTTTTTATCGTTTACGGACGTCGATTCTGAAACAGGAAGTCTGGTTTATCATATTCTTGATGGTCCAATGCTCGGACATATCGAACTAACAGCTGAACCCGGTAAGTTCCTCCTAAATCTATCAACGATGAATTTTCCGTAAAACCGAGATCTGTGAAGACAGGGGCCATGGTTATCCAGCGGTCAGTCAGTATTCCGTCTCGTTGACAGAAAATAAAGAACTTTCTGGCCAATGAAATCTTTTGTTATATAAAGTAGGCTCAATATCCAGGTAGCAACCTTTTATCCTACTATTCTCTGTTAATTTCCTTCTAAATTTCAATTTATCAACGATAAAATGCCTGAAAGTCCTAATTTTCACCAAGACCATCTGTTAAAGTAGGGGTCATGGTTATCCAGCGGTCAGCCAGTATTCCGTATGGTTGACAGAAAATAAAGCACTTTCTCGCCAATGAAATCTTTCGTTATATGAATATCCAGGTAGCAACCTATTTTCCTACCTTTCTTTGTTAAAAGGTAAAAATACTTCTTCCCCCAAAACCATGGAATTATTTTTGTGGTGGAATCGGTCTTGTTAATAAGTACAATGATTCTGGAGAATAGACAAGAAAAAAGTTATTGGCCTATTTATGATACTGGAGGTGCAATATATATTTCGTTTCCTACCTCTATTTATTACTAACTCAATTGACTGGTTGACTGATCAGTTACTTGCCCCTAAATTACTTAATGATATTTCTTAAAGAGATTTTCCACGTTGGCGCTTGTGGTATTACAAGCTTTGATAACGCTGCAATACAAAACGATAGATCTTGGTGAACCAAAGGATAAAAGAATTTCACCATCTTTGTATTTTCTATTGTTTGCCAGGTGTTCCTGTTTTAGAGTTCAGCCAATCAGATTTAGCTGCTGGAAGTGTTAAATACACACATACAAGTCCAGATGAGAAATATATGGATAGGTTCATGTTCTCTGTAACAGATGGAACTAATGAGGTAGGTTTCTGGTACTGGGGGGTGGATGGTTGAATAGTTAGTGCATGCGCGTTGTATCATAAGGTCTGTCATTGAGTGGGAGGTTGAAATAAAATTGAATCATATGTTAGTCCTGAAATATATATTGTATTAAATTGTTTATAAACAATTGAAAAGATTTTATCATCTCAGGTTGTGAAGACGTTCCGTATTATGGTGACACCTGTAGACGATTCTATTCCGATGGTAGAGAATCATGGTTTAACTGTTCAAGAAGGTGTGCGTAAAATCATCTCCGAGTTTGAGTTGAAGGCTACAGATAAAGACACAAAGGTATTTAACTGTTATTTTCATGTGTGTGAGTTAGTTGTATTTTACGTCCGCTTCCACTGAGGTGATATCGCAGGCAAAGGTATTTTCATAGCCAACAGTTTATTTTATACCTGGGGGTCACGGTAGCTAGGCGGGTAAGACGTTGGCTAGCTAACCTGGAGGTCGGGTGTTTGATCCCGGAATTGGACCGAGAAAGTTCATCCAGATTTCCAACTGCCAAGGGATCTTTTACGTGCACGCCAATGTGTACACGGGACCTCTGTTTTTCATCCCATCCGAACGACTAGACAGCTGTCCTTGTCAGGCCCTCCATCCTGCATCAATGACAAGGGGAAACCACGCCGGAAAATCTGGGTGAACTTTCTCAGCCAATTGAGGGATCGAACACCCGACCTCCAGGCTAGCGAGCCAGTGTCTTACCCACTTAGCCATGTGATCCACGAACACTCATAGAACACTTCATTCGTCTGGTCTGCTTGGTTAGTGCAGGAAGTAAAACGATAGAACCCAGTTTTATTTCATTTCAACCTGTTTAGATCGATAAAGTCCTTTCTCTCAAAGTGCAGTTCATTGGTTCTTTTTTATTATTTTTAGGAAGATCATCTTACTTTTACGATCATCCGTGCACCCGTACATGGAACCGTAAAAATCAAGAAGGGAGATAACTTTATTCGAGGGTCAAAGTTCACCATGGAAGACATCTATGAGAATCGTGTTACCTACGAACATCATGGAACAGAAAACTTTGAAGATCAATTCACGTTTACTGTCAGTGATGGCTCTAATGATGTTTTTGCTGTACAGAATGATGATGCTGAACAAATGGTTCCCATAGCAACACCACAGGTAAGGAATGTTTGTAATTATTGCATTTATTAACAGGAATCATGTTTTAGGGCTCTACCTGTACACTATAAAAAATATATTAAAAATTTGGATAATTCTAAAAATCGTCGTATAAATATCTTAAAATCTAAGGGAAATAAAAAAAACATTGAAAATTGACATTATTTAAAATTTAATTTTTGAAAAAAGAAATTAAGTTAGTAAATGCACTTAATTAATTATGTTTATCATTCACTAACAAATGGAACCACATTAAGAAATTGATTATAAATAGGTGTACTTTATGTATATCATTTACAGACACATGGACCCACATTGAGTACCATAATTACATTCACTTTATGGTTCTCATTTACTGACACATGGAACTACATTGAGTACCATAATAATTCACTTTATGTTTATCATTTACTGACACATGAAACTACATTGGGAACCATAATAATTCACTTTATGTTTATCATTTACTGACACCTGGAACTACATTGAGTAGCCTACCATAATTACATTCACTTTATGTATATCATTTACTGCCACATGGAACTACATTGAGTACCATAATAATTCACTTTATGTATATCATTTACTGACACATGGAACTACATTGAGTAGCCTACCATAATTACATTCACTTTATGTATATCATTTACTGGCACATGGAACTACATTGAGTACCATAATAATTCACTTTATGTATATCATTTACTGACACATGGAACTACATTGAGTAGCCTACCATAATTACATTCACTTTATGTATATCATTTACTGACACATGGAACTACATTGAGTACCATAATAATTCACTTTATGTATATCATTTACTGACACATGGAACTACATTGAGTACATAATTATATTCACTTTATGTCTAATATTTACAAATAAATGAAACCACATTGAGAACTCAAATAGAACCACCTTCAGTACCATAATTCTTCTTTTGTTTTCTTCAGAAATTCAAGATAAAGGTTTTACCAATGGATGATGGCACTCCAGTTCTGGAGAAAAATCTTGGATTACAGTTCCTGGAAGAATCCAGAAATAAAGTAAGTCTATAAATACAAAATAGATTCTTTATACAACAAGTGGTATCAGGTGGATGTACTCAACAAGGAAAATGATACCTAGTCATCTGGATGGTATGAAAAACTAATATCCATTTGTGCACATGATCAAGTACATGTCACAGGTTTTCTAACTTGTCTTGTGGGTTCTAGACTTATTTCCGACTTGCTCTGAGGGTTCTAGCTACACAGATTTCTAACTTGCTTTGTAAGTTCTAGCTAGACAGATTTCTGACTTGCCTTGTGGGTTCTAGACTTATTTCTGACTTGCCTTGTGGGTTCTAGACTTATTTCTGACTTGCTTGTGGGTTCTAGACTTATTTCTGACTTGCCTTGTGGGTTCTAGACTTATTTCTGACTTGCCTTGTGGTTTCTAGACTTATTTCTGTCTTTCCTTGTGGTTTCTAGACTTATTTCTGACTTGCCTTGTGGGTTCTAGACTTATTTCTGACTTGACTTGTGGGTTCTAGATTTATTTATGACTTTTGTGGGTCTAGCTATAGGCTTATTCTGACTAGCCTTGTGGGTTTCAGACTTATTTCACATTTGCTTCATCTATTTAAATCACCCTGTTAACAGATGAACCCTACTCATTTTCTAGTAACCTACTCGATTTTCCTCCTCGGAACCAAAGATACTTGACAACCACGTAAATGAACAAAAACCCAGAAGGCAAACCTACGGACAAGAGAGACAAAACACACGGACAATGGAAATACTATCAAATCAAGTGAATGGATCCAGGGTCCAACATTAAATATTATTCATTTCTACTTCCAGATATCCAACCTGATCACAAATCAACAATTAAAAGCGTCTGATGAAGATACTGAGGATGATGGGATACGTTATGTCATCAAAAAACCTACCAAATATGGTCGTATTGAGAAAACAACGAATGCCGGACGACCAATCAATGTCTTTACTCAAGGTGTGTACTATGTTTGTATTTCACATGTTAGGCTACAAAAATTTGAATTTTTGTTTTTTGGAAACCTGAAATGAAATGAATTAAACTGAAATGGAGTTTAATGTCCTACTTTTCTGCACCGACTGGTCTAATGAAGACAGGAGTCGGGAGAGAGAGAGAAATGGGGCTTAACGTCCACTCGACACAAACTAGGTCATTTCGGGACTAACATATGGTTCAATTTTATTTCAATAATTCGCTTGCGCGTAGGGGTCTTTATCAGTCCCGAAATGACCTTGTTTGTGTTGAGTGGACGTTAAAACCTATTTCTCTCTCTCATCAAACGGATGAATCTCATGAGAATGACAACCTGTGTTTCTTATTTGTTAAAACCACGTCTGAACTCGCCATTCTTTCTTTTTCATGTGATTACCATCTGCAGAGGATCTAAATTTGGGAAGAATTCGTTACGTTCTAACTCGTAACTCATCAACCAATCAGGATAGTTTCACCTTTGACCTGCAGGACAGCAAACCAAATATAGTTCCAGGGAATAATTTCTATATCTTATGGTCTGTGTTGAGTTTTGAGAAGTTACAGTATAATATAACAGAAGACTCAGGTATTATACAGATACCTGTAACGAGACGCGGAAATATGAAACAGGTCAGTTTTATTTCTAACACACTTTCAGATTATATCTCCCATAGCAACTATTGATGTTTTACACATCTCCAGATTATATCTCCCATAGCAAATATTGATGTTTTACACATCTCCCATAGCAACTATTGATGTTTATACATCTCCAGACTATATCTCCCATAGCAACTATTGATGTTTTACACATCTCCAGATTATATCTCCCATAGCAACTATTGATGTTTTACACATCTCCCATAGCAACTATTGATGTTTATACATCTCCAGACTATATCTCCCATAGCAACTATTGATGTTTTACACATTTCCCATAGCAACTATTGATGTTTACACATCCCTAGACTATATCTCCCATAGCAACTATTGATGTTTTACACATTTCCCATAGCAACTATTGATGTTTTACACACCTCCTATAGCAACTATTGATGTTTTAAGGTGGAAATTCCCCTGTATCAACCTTCTGTAAAGTCAATAGGGGTTGATATTATTGAGCCACATGCTTTGAATTTCAAGTGCACAAGATAAGCAGCGGTTGATATTTGATAACTATCGCTCACACATGAACTAATACCTTGCGACCATCAATTTAGTTTGTGTCGATGTTTAAGTCAGATAGAAAATTATTTCCATCGCTGTTAATTGAAATAAAACCTACGGAGCATCTTTACTTCATTTATTTTACCTGCCCATACCTGAAACTAATATGTGTATATATTTATGATATATTTTCAGTATTCAATAGTTACATGTAAAACTGTACCTGGATCAGCAACATCTGAAGAACTGGCACCCAGACCTGGTGTTCAAGACTTCATATCACACTCTGGACAGGTAATTCTAGACTACAGTATTCAACATGTTAGACAACAGTGGTGAGAAGTGAGTGGTCTGATACCACGGTTGTTCAAAAACTAGAGTTATAAGCCAGAAGCAGTTAGTGGTCCAATACCACTGTTATAAGAGTTCTTTGAATTCTTAGATTTCATCCTGGAACGAAAGAAATATAATATGTTTAAATGGTCCCAAACAGATACTTGTTTGAGCTTATTTTTTCTCATTCATTAAGGTCTGCTTTCGAAAAGTTTATCAGCAATGAAGTTTTAATGCTTTCTTATTGGATATTAAAGAACATTTTCTCTCATCATTGATTTAGTACAGTATGATATCTGACTGGTGGAGCCAAGAGTTTCCAAAATCTGGTGTTTTAGAGGACAGATACATGATGAAATAGAAAAAAATAGTACCTTATGGAATCTTAGTGGTGACTCCATAATTATTCAATAGTCCAGTAGATAGGCTCCTCTTCCGCGAGCCCCCACTGAGATGGTGGCACCACTGAGATAGGCTCCTCTTCCTCCAGCCCCCATTGATAGTGGCACCACAGAACTCATCTTCCTCCAGCCCCCACCGATGGTGGTACCACTGAAATAGGCTCCTATTTCCCAAGTCCCCATCGATAATGGCACCACTGAGATGGGCTCCTTTTACCCCAGCCCCCACGAATGGTGGCACCACTGAGATAGGCTCCTCTTCCCCCAGCCCCCACATAGATGGTGGCACCACTAAGAGAGACTCCCCATCCCCCAGCCCCAACGGAGATGGTGGCACCACTGGGATAGGCTCCTCTTTCCCCAGCCCCCACCAAGATGGTGGCACCACTGAGATAGGCTCCTCTTCCTCAAGCCCCCATTGATGGTGGCACCACAGAGATAGACTCATCTTTCCCCAGCCCCCACCGATGGTGGTACCACTGAAATAGGCTCCTCTTTCCCAAATCACCATCGATAAGGGCACCACTGAGATGGGCTCCTCTTGACCCAGCCCCCATCGATAATGGCACCTCTGGTATATTAAAAGACAAATTAATGACAAATTATAAACTTATTTTATTAGGTTCAGTTTGATGACTGGCAGGAAACGAAGATGTGTACGATTATTATCAACGATGATTCGCTACACGAAGGACCAGAAACTTTCTACGTAGATCTCGACACGCCCGTTTATTCCATATTAGGTGATATGAGAAAAACTGCTGTTACAATTTATGACACAGAAGATGGTAAGTTATACACAAAATTTTTCAATAAAGAGCTGGTCATTAAAATAAACACAACAGTTCTATGGATAACAATTACTATATTTCTATTAAAGCTACGTTTCAACAATGATTCTCTTGTCGTTATCAAGCACAATTATCCGTAGAACTGTTGTGTTTATTTTAATGTGTTCAATTACTAAATGCCATTCAAACAGCTACCCATTCTTGCTATAATAGATAATGCAAAATAAATATATTCTGAGCAAAGTTTTCACCGTTTGAAGTTTGAACAAGTTGAGGCATAGATTGGTTATTATTATAACAATAGTACATGTTAATCAAGACTTAGGGGGGTGGATGGCCGAATGGTTAATGCGTGCGTGCGCGTAGTATCAGAAGGTCTGTCATTGAATCAACTGTCGTGGTTTCGATTCCCAGGTTGTAGGTGACAAGGAGTAGGGTCGCCTGTCCAACCTTGTGGGTTTTCTCCTGGTCCTCCGGTTTCCTCCCACTGCTAGAGACCCCCTAAGCACAAGCGAATTATTGAAATAAAATTGAACCATATGTTAGGACTGAAATGACTTAGTTTGTGTCGAGTGGGCGTTATGCCCCATTTCTGTCTCTCTCTATTCAGGACTTAGTCTTGATCTGTCCTTTTTAAATTAATTCATTAAATGCCAACCATGTTTTAATCCATTTAAATCTCAGCCATCCGATGTTCTAGAGAGTTGATTGTTGGCTTGTTGTGTTAATAAATGTCTAAATAATAATTTATATAACTTTTGAATTTTGGAGCCAAACCTCTTACACAACACTGTAACCCAGGTATCATTTAATCTTGTGTATTTGGCACTAATTTCTTTCACATTTGTTTAATATTGAATCTTGTGTATTTAGCACTAATTTCTTTCACATTCGTTTAATATTGAATCTTTGTTTAAAAATTTGTAAAAATCGTTTAAAATCACCAAAAATAACCTAATTTGTACTTGTGTCCAGTTTAAAGCTAACCATTCAATTTTGATAATGAGTGTCCAATTTACAAGCATTTAATTTCCCGATCACTGTTAAAAAATACGCAACCCAATTGATTATTGATAGGCCTATATAATGATTAATTTTTGAACAGTGATCAGGGAATTAAATACAGTGTAATACATCTTTAAGTAATTTATATATTTCAGTACCTGTATTTGATTTTACGAGTGATGTTTATCACCTGAATGAAACAGATTCCTATGCTGCTGTTACTATAGTCAGATCAGGTAAACATTTTATTTATTATGTGTAAGAAAAAATGGTGTGTGATTGTTATCAGGATATTTGTGAAATTTTACCTGGTGACTGAAAGGGGGAGACGACTGGCTGTCGTGTAAGATTTTGGTTCGTAAATTTAAGCTATGATGTGCCTCATTTTTCATTGATAAATCAGTCATTGATCGTCGTTATTAAAGGAAAATGTAGCGGATGTTAGCCCCAAAGGGAGTTCGTTGCGGTGTTCAAAGTTCGTCAGGAGTTGACATTCGTTGAACCGTAGGCTGAAATGTGATTGCCTGGATAAATTTTCCCTCTTCGTTAGCCTTGTTGACTGGATGCTCAACCTCTCTTTTTAACCGGCGGGTTGGATAGCCGAACGGTTAACGCGAGCGCGTTGGATCATGGGTCTGTCATTGAGTCAAGTAGCATGGTTTCAATTCACTGCTTGTATGTGACGGAGAGTGGGGTCGTCTGTCCAATCTCCTGGGAGTTTTCTGGGTCCTCCGGTTTCCTGCTACTGCTAAACGACCCCTACTCTCAGGCGATTTAATGAAATACAATTGAACCGTGTATTACTCCCGAAATTACCTAGTTTGTATTTAGTGGACGTTAAACCCCATTTCGGGGGGTTGGATGGCCGAATGGTTAGCACGTGCGTGCTGTATCATAAAGCCTGTCATTGAGTCAACTGGCGTGGTTTTAAATCCTCGCTTGTAAGTGACGGAGAGTAGGGTCGTCTGTCCAATCTCCTGGGAGTTCTTCAGGTCCTTCAGTTTCCTCCCACTGCTAAAGACCTGTACGCTCAAACAAATTAATAAAATAAAATTGAACCATGTGTTAGTCCCGAAATTACCTAGTTTGTGTCAAGTGGACGTTAATCCTCTCCCTCTCTCCCTCTCTCTTTAACAACTCCAATATTTTATAATGTGAATTCAGAATGAACTCAGCCTTACCCAATTCAACAATTCCAATTATAAAATATGTCATTGATAACTTGTACAGTCAGATTGTAAACACTATTGAAAGTCGATAGGTTTCTAATACTTCCGTCATGTGACCCCATTTCTCTCTCTCTCTCCCTCTTTTAACCTTTTTGTAAATCATTATATATTATTTATATTACCAGGTGATTTAAGCAGCACCGTATCAGTTATCTGTTACACTACATCTAGAACAGCAAAAGGAAGTGATGAAAATAGATTATCATCAGGTTCAGATTACATCAGCAGAAGTAAAACTAATATCAACAGAGTTATCTTCCCTCCAGGTGTCACTACAGCTAACTGTGATATAAAGGTAGGTTGCTTTAATCTGGAGAGCCATATATGGTCACTGGTATTGGCTGAGAATGATTGTCTGGCATGGTATCCCCTTGTTGGTGGTGGATGATGGTGTGCTTGGCTATTAATCTAGTCGTTTGGACAAAGACCCTGTATACACGTATACCTGTAAAAGAACCGTTAACAGTTGGAATCAGAAATAAGAGTAGGACATAGCCTTAATCTGCCTCTTTATTTATTAGTTTGGTCCCACTAGCAAGGTTGGGAGATTGCTCTTGGGACCCTTATCGTTATGTCATTCAGTATCCCACCCCACATTTTTAGTATAGGTTAGAAATTAAAGTACGGGTGACAGTTAAGTAAAGCCCCAGCGAAGAACGATCTAAGTCACATTTTTGTCTTTTCGCATAAAACGCTAAAAAAACTTTGAAACCTGATGGACGAGAATGCTTGATGTGACAGGGATGCTGTGGATTTAGATCGTTCTCGACCGGGAGGCCATTTCAGAAGGGCCCTGGTTCGATGTGACTATGATCCTTTTTTATCTGAAATCGATTGTTCCACAGAAGAGTTATACAATGTGCTACCAGATGGTGCGATTCAAGGAAAACGTGACTTAGATTGTTCTTCCCCTAGGCTCTTCAGTTATCATATCAGATGGACAGAAAACAGCTGCAAGCTTTATCATGGCAACTGAACTCTGCAGTTACTCAAACATGAAACTCATTATTATTCATATATACAAAAGTCATGCATATTCATGTTAACAACATCCTCCAATATTATTAGCTGATGTTAAAACTATTGTTATTTTCTTATTTTCTACCAGATTATAGATGACAGTATATCAGAAAGTTCTGAAGAGTTTGATGTTGGATTAGCTGATCCATCTCTTCCAGCATCTTTAGGTGTTATTGATAAAGCTACTGTTGTGATAGATGGACCCAATGATCGTAAGTATTTATATGTAAAAATGGTTAACATTCTGTATACTGGATGTATTTGTTAAATATAATTAACTTTTTTCGATCCTGAATTTATTTATTCTACAGGAACATCTGTCTGTTCTTGTTGCTGATGTCCCAGAAACATCTGTCGGTTCTTGTTGCTGATGTGCCAGGAACATCTGTCTGTCTGTTCTTGTTGCAGATGTCCCAGGAACATCTGTCAGTTCTTGTTGATGATGTGCCAGGAACATTTATATATTGTGCCATCTCTACTGTACTGGGGGAGCCATGGTGGCTAAGTGGTTAGCCTGTAGGTTGCATGTTTGGTCATCAGGATTTTCCGGCGTGGTTTCTCCTTGTCAGTGGTGCAGGACAGAGGGCCTGACAAGGACAGCTGTCTAGTCGTTCATGGCGTGCATGTAAAAAATGCCTTGGCAGTTGGAATTTTATATAAGAGTAGGCCATAGTGCCGCTACCGCAGAAATGGAACCATAAATTTAACTGTGTTTGCTTTGAAAGCATTATAATTTTTGAGATGTTGCTCTTTCAGAATCGACTGTTTATTTGCCTGTCAATACATACGAATATAATGAGAATGCTGGTACAGTTGAAATTGAAGTTTTGCGCGGAGGTTCCGACTTGTCGCACAGTACTATGGTATGGTGTGCTACCCGACTGTCATTCCCACCATCAGCCACTCCAGGTCAAGACTACATTCCTAGTTCAAGTCAAATCACATTTGGACCAGGAGAATCAGCAGCGGTCAGTATGATAGACATACATCTTGTGAAGCTAGTATCCCTGTAGTACCTGGATATCATTTAATCTTGTGTATTTAGCATTAATTTCTTTCATATTTGTTTCATATCAAATCATTGTTTAAAAATTTCTGAAAATCATTTAAAATCACCCAAAATCATCAAATTTGTACTCCGGTCCAGTTTAAAGTTGACAATTCAATTTTGATAAAGAGTGTCCCAATTTATAAGTGTTTAATTTCTCAACCACTGTTTAAAAATAAACACTCCAATTGATTATTGATGTGTAATGATTAATTTTTGAACAGTGGTCAGGAAATTGAATACTTGTAAATTGGACACTCATTATTAAAATTGATCAGTCAACTTTAAACTGGACACAAGTACAAATTAAATGATTTTAGGTGATTTTAAATGATTTTTATGAATTTTTAAACAAAGATTTGATATCAAATGAATGTGAAAGAAATTAGTGCTTGATTTTATGTGACTGCATATGGGCTGTTTTAATGTTGTCCTTTCTTGCCTTCATGCTATATTGCTTATCTCAATGTAATCAAACAGTCTATGTTTTGTATGTAATTCCATTCATTCATTTCAGTTTATTATTCCCAGAGTTGTATCAAATTATTTTGAAATTAAACTTTGACAGTGGTTCTTGCATATGATGAGCTTATTGCCTGCCAGCCTAAACCTATATATCAAAAACTATATTTACGTTTTCTTTCAGAAATGTGAGATATCCATACTGGATGATGAATTTGAACCTAAATTGGAAGGAAATGAGACGTTTGAAGTGTTTTTGAGTTCTGCTATGGGTAGTACTCTGGCTGAGCCGTATATTGCAACTGTGGTGGTTTCAGATAAAACATTAGATGGTAAGTAAATGTGGATATGGAAGTGTGTTCTACAGCGGTAGGCTGCTGGGGCAAACGCTGACAGAACAACACTGTGGAGAAAAGTGTATCCCCCAGAAAGACTGTGTTCCACAGGAAAAGGTTGAAGGGAAGTGTGTTCCTCAGGAAAAGGTTGACAGGGGAAGCATGTTCCACAGGAAAAGGTTCACAGGGGAAGTGTGTTCTAAAGGGTTAAGCTTATATAGGGGAAGTGTATTCTACAGGGTTAAGCTTATATAGGGGAAGTGTATTCTACAGGGTTAAGCTTATATAGGGGAAGTGTGTTCTACAGGGTTAAGCTTATATAGGGGAAGTGTATTCTACAGGGTTAAGCTTATATAGGGGAAGTGTGTTCTACAGGGTTAAGCTTATATAGGGGAAGTGTATTCCACGGAAAAGGTTCACAGGGGAAGTGTGTTCTACAGGGTTAAGCTTATATAGGGGAAGTGTATTCTACAGGGTTAAGCTTATATAGGGGAAGTGTATTCCACGGAAAAGGTTCACAGGGGAAGTGTGTTCTACAGGGTTAAGCTTATATAGGGGAAGTGTGTTCTACAGGATATGAGGAAAGTCTTTGTTCCATTAGATTTAGCTGGCAGGAAAAGTATGCCCAAACATTCAGATGATCATTTGGCTTTTGAAATCCAATTCCATAATCTGGAACATGCCAGTAAGATTAGAATTAGCCTATCTTTATGATGAATAAGAGAGCATGATATTCTGTTTTCTATTTCAGTACCAAAAATGGGTTTTGTTCAAGAATCTTACGTGGTAGATGAATCGAATAAAACTCTTAATGCCACCATCATGAGGACTGGAGACTTGAGCTACCAGTCATCTGTGATTTGTTTTACCAGACAGAAAACAGCCCAGGTTATGATGGATTATGGGGAACGTGTTCGTGGAGAGAGTTCAAGAATTGTTTTTCTACCAGGAGAAAGGGTAAGCCATCATAAAGACTAAAAGAGATGTTTAGGTGGCTGAATTAGGTGTAGATCACGATAAAACTGAAATTAACGTCCTACTTTTCTGGACCAACCAAGTTAACGAAGATGGACATACGCCATGTTGCCGGATCGTAGGAATGGTTTCTGCCTACTCTACATTGAATTTCATGTGTCAAGGGTTCTTTTACATGCACGCCAAACAAGAACACGCGTCAGTCTCAATTTATTTTTCTATCCCTAATCAAATGAATCTTTAGGATGTTAAGGTACCGATCCATCTGCCACCGAGCTTTATAACCTGGAGGTTGTAGGTTCGATCTCGATATTGGCCGAGAAAGTTCATCATGATTTTTCGGTGTGGTTTCCCCTTGTCAGTGGTGAAGGACGAAGGGCCTGACAAGGACAGCTGTCTAGCCATTGGTATAGGGTGAAAAACAGAGGTCCCATGTACACATTGGCATGCACCTAAAAGATTCCTTGGCAGGAGAAAGGGTAAGCCATCATAAAGACTAAAAGGGATGTTTAGGTTACTGAATTAGGTGTAGAATTGCTGTAAATCGATGAAATAGATTTTTGGGGAAATAATTACTAGTCTTGGTCATGTGGTTAATATTTTAAAGGCATTTTTAATTATAATTTTTTCAGATTAAGAATTGTACAGTAGAAATTGTGAAAGATGGAGAATTTGAGGAAGAAGAAAAGTTTCTACTACGTTTGACCTTACCAGAAAGCTCAGATGACTTTGGAGCTGGATTAGGTGCAATCAATAAAACAGTTGTTACAATCACAAACCATAACGATGGTAGGACAACTTTAATTTAAATAAATTAATTCTCTGTACTGCCCAGGTGATATATATAGTACATGAGACGTGGTGGCTTAATGAGTAAGGTACTCGCTCACTCGTTCTCTATCCAGGAGGTTTTGTGTTCGCTCCTGGTGTTGGCTGAGTTAGTTCCTCATGATTTTTGGCACAGTTACCCCCCCTTGTCAGTGATGCAGGAAGGACGGCCTGGCAAGGAATGGTGTCTAATTGTTTCATTTATTTTAAATGAATTAGTTCTCTTTATTTTCAAGATAACATACATAGTGGATCCCAGGGTTTTCGTTTCAGCTATGTTTACTTGTTTTGACTGACATTCAATGAAAAACGTCAGACTAGAGAATTTACCTGTCAGTCAATTTTATATGTAATGAAATTTCCAAAAACATTAACCTTGTAAATACATTTATGTTTTTTGTTTTTAATGTGTAAGATCTCCTTAAAATATATTTCAAAAAGTTGAGATTATGCTAAAAATTATATATTAATCATGTTACATGTTATGAGGTAAAGAAAATAGTATAAAATTGACTGGCTGAAATCCCTAGGCAAATCATAATTCATAAAAAATTTTACAAAAACAAAATGATGCCGACCACAATGTAATTTATAAATGGTGCTGACCACAATGTAATTTTTAAAAACAAAATGGTGCCGACCACATGGTAATTTATAAAAACAGAATGGGTAAACAACCTGAATTTGTTGAAATGGTTACTCTATATGTGAAGTCAGTCTTAATACACAACCAATTGTGTTGTTCCGTGACTAAAATCAAATATCTTTACTTCCAGTACCAACGTTAGAGTTTGAAGAATTGGCGTATAGTATTAACGAACCTAGTGTTGTTGATCAGATTGCCACGGTTACAGTCAAGGTCAAGAGGTCAGGAGATGTTAATCATACGTCAAGTGTACGAGTCAGTACGAGAGATGGATCAGCGCAATCAGGATTAGATTATAATCCTAAAAGTCTGGTCGTCAGGTTTCCTCCAGGTAGGTTCAATCACAAATATAGTTTGATTGTTTAAAGACATCTCTGACTTCTCAGGTGGTTTAAACCTATTTTATTACCACAAAGTAAATGGATCGGACAAAAGTTACATAAACTTACAAAAACATCCTTTCCTTCTTAAGTACATGAAATAACAAGGGGTGCAAAATAAAGAAGAGAATTAAGACGGTGCTGGGGAATAAATCTCAAGATTGACGAAGATGATCATAAGATAACCATCTGAGAATTATTCCAGTGAGTGCAAGGTTGTGGTACCATCTGAGAGGGGGAGAGAGAAATGACACAAACTAAGTAATTTCAGGACTAACATACGGTCAGAGTAATTTAGCAGTGGGAGGAAACCTAGAAGGACCAGGAGAAAATTTGCTAGGTTGGACAGACAGGGGAATTGAGCTATATGTTAGTCCCAAAATGACCTAGTTTGTGTCAAGTGGATGTTAAACCCCATTTCTCTCTCCCTTATTTGGATATGATATTTTATGGGATTGAGAGATGTAGAATTTGTGTTACCTAGTTACAAAATTTAACTAATTGTGTTGTTGTACTCAATTTCTCTTACGATATTTTATAGGATTGAGAGAAGTAGAATTTCCTGTTGATATTTTATATAACAGTGATATTGAGTGGCATGAATCATTTACAATTCAACTCGGCCCACCAGATGGTGCTGTACTCGGTCCAATCAAAGTTACATCTATAACAATACTGGACGATGAAGTCTCCGGTAGTCTCATTTTACCAGCTCCACCAATGGTTTGTGTTTATATTTCTTTTTGATTTCTTTTTCTAGATTCCTGTAGATATTCATGCATATCGGACCATAACTTGCTGGATTATGGCCCCTGATTGTATGAAAAATTGCTTCTTTTTGTTTAGCTTGTCCTCTGTCCATCTCTTTGAAAATGTGGGCAATATTAATATAGCCTAAATATTTTGATAGTTTTTGAAGTGTAATTTTTATTTCAATATTTTGATTGTTTTTTGTAACTGCAAAATATATATATACTATTCAAAAAAAGTAGGGGATATTTGATTTTGGGGGCATAATACTAAAATATGGAAATGACTACGAAAAAAGTCACTATAGAACCTAACAGAAGAAACATTTCCAGTTACATGTGACGCCCAAACGCACCAATAGCTACCGCATGGAATGCAGGTGATGCTTGGGATCATCATGGGGGTCCAACCCAAGATTTGCACGACTCTGACTTTGAATGTTACAGTCATTGTGGCATTGAATTCCAGGGTGGAAACATCAGTTTAATTGTTTTAGTGACCAGAAAATAAATTTTGATATGCGTCGGCTTACCCAAAATGAAAGGTTACGTGCCCTTGGCATGCTACAGATCGGCACAACACAGGCGGTTGTGTCGCGGACGATGAATGTTTCTCAGTCTGTCATAAGCAGGCTATGGTCCAGATACCGTGATACACAATCTGTACAGGACAGACCACGCTCAGGTCGACCAAGGGCGACAACTCAAGCCCAGGATCGATTTATCCGTACCTTGGCCTTGAGAAATCGTGTCATCACAGCAAATCAGATCAGCGCTCGTCTTCAAACAGACACTGGTGTGAGAGTGAGTAGCCAGACGATTCGGAATCGACTGCATAGGGGTCACCTTCGCGCCCGACGTCCTCGCGTGATCCCTTGTTTGAGAGATCATCACATTCAGGCAAGACGTCGTTGGTGTAGGGATCGTCAACACTGGGATAATTGACGCTGGAGCAATGTGATGTTTTCAGATGAGTCAAGGTTCACTGTTGATTTTTTGAACAGACGTAGGAGGGTGTGGCGTCGTCGAAACGAGCGCTTCCAAGACGTTAACGTCATCAGACATGATCGATTTGGGGGTGGTTCTGTTATGGTGTGGGGAGGCATCACTGTTGCTGGAAGAACGGCTTTACATGTTGTTGCAGGGCGTGTTACAGGCCAGTACTACCGGGACAACATCTTGGCAGTCCATGTTGTGCCGTTCGCACGACGTCATGGCCGCCGTTTCATCTTCCAGGATGACAACGCAAGATGTCACAGGGCCAGGATCGTTACAGGTTACCTCCAACAACAGAACATCACCACATTACCTTGGCCAGCACTGAGTCCCGACCTCTCCCCCATCGCGCATGTCTTGGACATGCTTGGACAGAGGTTACGTCAACGTCAACAACGTCCTGCCAATGTCCAAGAACTTGCTGCTGCGTTGCAACAGGAATGGGACAATCTGGACCAAAATGACCTTAGACGTCTCATTAGGAGTATGCCACGTCGGATCAATGCTTGTTTGGCAAACAGAGGAGGATTTACCCGTTACTGACTTGGTTGTGATGCTGTGGTAACTTTGCTGTTTGACCCCGGGTATCATTTTACCCTTATAATGGTCAGTATGTGCCTTACTTAGTCTAACGATCATTTGGAATAAATCGATGAATGTGAACTTCATTTCATTTTGTCATTTGTTTCTTCGTCAGTTTCATTAGGTGACTTTAATAACACTTAAAAATCAAATATCCCCTACTTTTTTTGAATAGTATATAAATATTTTGATCGTTTTGAAGAGTAATATTTATTCAAATATTCTGATTGTTTATTTAAGTACAATATTTAACTATTTTAAATTGTGCAATATTTAAATATTTTGATTGACAGGTTGTATCGTTGTTACATTATGATGATGCTGAGCAAGGAATTAAAATAAATCCATCTCCAGGTTATCCTCTTGTCTGTGTGTCTGTAAGTATAGTTTAACCCTTTCCAGGTTATCCCCTTGTTTGTGAGTATAGTTTAACCCTTTCCAGGTTATCCCCTTATAGTTTAACTCTTTCTAGGTTGTCCCCATGTCTGTGAGTATAGTTTAACCCTTTCCAGGTTATCCTTGCATTTGTGTCTGTATATATAGTTTAACCCTTTCCAGGTTGTCCTTATCCACATTATGTATGTTTTATAATAATAATAATATGAAATATGGTTCTCACTTTTTCATAATATGTTTGTGTCTTTGTACTAGCCTTGTGACCATCGTCATCCAGCCTATCACACAACTCATTCCCTCTGTCAAGAATCTGGTATCAACCAATCAACAATCATCTACAACTGGGAGGTTGCCATGCCAACAGATCACCATGGAGTCAGGCCACCATTTGTGAGAGTAGCAGATAATACTCTATTTACAAGTACCGATCGCATGGTGTTGGACAGTATTTATTTCCGCCCTAAATTCAATCTTCGATGCGTAGCTCAACCAGTTCACAACAACGGGAACCTTGGTGTTCCACTGAAATCTAAACCGGTTACGATTGGTCTCGATAACGGAATTTGCAAATCACCCGTCTTTGGACCTAATCCCTATGGTTACCAAGCTCAGTCGTTTCTAGCAAATCTTGAATATCTCCAACCAGATGATATAGATCATCCAAACACTATCCATATCTCCGTGGAAATACCTCACTCTGATGGGATGCTTCCATTAATCTCTACTTTCCCTTTACATAATCTACGATTTCTATTGGCTGATCCAGTATACCGTCAACAACATGTCTGCTCTAATATCATAACAGAGATAGAGAGGGCGCCACTCATAGCAGATGGTTTCCTTGGTGATCAGAACGAAGACCACCCACAGCCGTTTGGAGCAGGGTATGACTTTCCGTTTCAGTTTGACGACACCTTACGAGAAAAGAAAACCTTAAATCTGTATCGTCATTTAAATTTAAAATCGTGTACGTGGAAATTCGATGCTTGGTATCACATGACTGATTTGGTGGACATCTGTGGTGGACGTGTTATTTCCGATTTTGAGGTCAAGGACACTGGGAAGACACATCTTACTGCCCGAGTACCCTTGTTCGTGTCTTATCTATATGCCACTGCTCCGGTTGGATGGGGTTCCTTGGAGCATCGTACAGAGATGGATTTCTCATTCTACTATGACGCCATCTTGTGGCATTCTGGTTTAGAAACAGAAGGACATCTTGGTGGGAAACTTCAAATTTTACGAATTCAGATTGGAGAAGATGGAAAACTTGTTATTGATTTTAAGACAAAGGCCAAGTACAGAGGTAAGTAAGACATTCATAAATGAAATTTTATTTTAACATTTAATTGTGACCAGTAACAAATCGCCAAATCTCTGGATTATACGATGACATTACAAGATACCAGAATGACCAGTAACAAATTGTCATTAGGTGTGGTCAAATCTCTGGTTTATACGATGTCGTCACAAGAGACCACAATGGCCAGTTGCAAACTGTCATTAGATGGGACCTGGTCATTACTTGGTTTTGCGAGTTGTTGGACCAAGTCCTATTCTATTATTATAATAGCCTATTATAAAATGAAATGAAATGAAATGGGGTTTAACGTCCAACTGTTCTGCTCCGAACTGGGCTAATGAAGACGGGCATACGCCATACAGTGCACTATGAGGGAAATTTTGCCCGGACAGCTGCACTACAGCACTACTGTCAAGAGATTTTTTACGTGAATGCCAATGTGTATGCAGGACCTTGGTTTTTCGTTCCATCCGAACGACTAGACAGCTGTCCTTGTCAGGCACTCCGTCCTGCATCACCGACAAGGGGGAATCACGTCGAAAAATCTGGATGAACTTTCTCGGCCAATGCAGGGATCGAACACCCGACCTCCAGGCTAGCGAGCCAGAGTCTTACCCACTTAGCCACCTTGACCCCCAATAGCCTATTATAAAAATGGGTATAGGAAACTGGTGACCATAGTAACCAGTAACAAATGGGTTAATTTCCCATAAACAATTGAAGAGACAGAGAGAGAAATGGGGTTTAACGTCCACTAGACACAAACTAGGTCATTTCGGGACTAACATATGGTTCAATTTTATTTCAATAATTCGCTTGCGCGTAGGGGTCTTTAGCAGTGGGAGGAAACCAGAAGACCTGGAGAAAACCCACGAGGTTGGACAGGCGACCATACTCCTTGTGACGTACAAGTGGGGAATCGAAACCACACCCCTTATGATATTACGTGCACGCGTTAAATATTTAGAACCCACATTATCTGTTCTATATTCCAGGATTGTTTGTTTTACGACACCAGACATTGAAAGGTTTTGAAAGTTATGTTGCTCCTCCAGATGACCTTGGTGTATCATTTGACCTTGAACTATTGTGGAGTCAAGCTACGTTTGACAGTCCGTATCAGTTATGGCGAGCAACCAGTAATTACAATCTCAAGGTAAGATTTCAAGAGTAGACGATCTCGATCGTGAATTTTTTCAGATAACATCTAAGTAAGTCGAAATGAAATGGTGTTTAACGTCCCACTGTTCTGCTCCTACTGGGCTAATGAAGACGGGCATGTGCCATACTGTGTGCTATCAAGGAAATTTTGTCCGGACAGCAGCAGTACAGCCTATTCTTATATCGAATTCCAACTGTCAAGGGATCTTTTACATGCACGCCAATGTGTACACCGGACCTCATTTTTTTGTTCCATTAAAATGACTAGAGCTATCGAGCCATCGTACTCACTTAGCCACCGTGGCTCCCAAGCCAAAATGAAAGATAAATTAGTAAACAAACCCAATACTACTATAAGTATATTTTCTCACCAATTGTCCTACCATAGTTTATCAGAGTAAACATTGTCTCACCAATCGTCTTACCGTAGTTTAGTCAGAGTAGACATTGTGTTACCAATTGTCTTACCATAGTTTATCAGAGTAAACATTGTCTCACCAATCGTCTTACCGTAGTTTAATCAGAGTAGACATTGTGTTACCAATTGTCTTACCATAGTTTAATCAGAGTAGACATTGTCTCACCAATTGTCTTACCATAGTTTATCAGAGTAGACATCATTTTATTGTTTGTGTATACCAGGTGAATCGAATGATGGGCCAGGTGATAACCAAGTGTAAATGTTATATTTTCCAGGATTATACAGGGTTATATGAAATTAACTTGATTCCTTGTAAAGTGAAATCATCTCAGAAATATGTGACAGGTGATGTTATACCTTGTACAGGTGAACAACCACAAAGGTAAGTTGAATAATACTCTTTTATCGAATTCCAACTGCCAAGGGATCTTTAACGTGCACGGCTATGTATGCACAGGACCTCCTTTTTTGTCCAATGTTAACGACTAGACAGCTGCCCTTTTCAAGCCCTTCATCCTGCATCACTGACAAGGGGGAAACCTTGCTGGAAAATCTTGATGAACTTTCTTGGCCAATGCAGGGATCGAACATGTGACCTCCAGGCTAGCGAGCCAGTGTTTACCCACTTAGCCACCATGGCTCCTGTAAGCCAAATGGAATTTCTCCCTAGTCCATGTCACTGTTTTAGAATATGAAGAAAACATGTGGAAGGAAACCATGCTGACAAATCATGTGAAGTTTTCTCAGCAAAAATATTGATCAAATCCAGAAGCCCCATGGTTTTGAGCCAGCGCCTTACTCACTGAGCCATCATGGCTCCCTGTACATTTAGTACTCCACATAAATGACCCTTTTGACATTAAACGAATAAGATCCTGTTCTTTTAGTTCTCATTGATAGATTTTTAGGAAAAAAAATACAACGTAGGGATTCTGCTTCGTTCGCAATCTGATTAAAATACAGATCTATATTTCGTTTCATTTTGTTTATACTTTCGATGGCCTACACTTCATGAAGATCTGACAAGTTGCACTCGAAGGTCGTGTCAGGGGTCGTTCGAGCAGCTTTTGACCTGTGACGTGTGACATTGATTAATCAATCAGTGTTGGCGTTTCTAGTGGTTTACCCACAGTTCCGTGCATGGCACGCCATGAGGTCACTGTAACAGACAGTTTCATTGGCTTATCCCTCACTTCAACCAAAACGCCGGTAATATAACAACTCTTCCAGATCCTAGTGTAGTAAAGACAAGTAAAACGATATTTTGAACTATAAAAAAACGAAATAGGATCTGTGTTTTAATCAGATTGTTTCGTTGGTAATTGGTGGAGATGTCTGACTAGAATGGCAAAAATATGGACATCAAGATGAGGTTTATATAGGTCACAATTACTGCTTATTACTGAGCGACACTTCTCTAGTCATTATCAAGCAATGATAAAATATGAAAATATGACAGGACAATATATACATGTACATAACAATACTTAGTTAATGCTGACAAACCAGAGATCAACATCCCTGCATCACATCAATGACTAAATAATGACTAGAGAAACCTAGTAGAAACGTCGCTCAGTAAAAAGCAGTGTTTGTATTCCATAGAATTGTGACCTGTATACTCTAGTTTAATTACTAAATGCCATTGAAACAAGATGAGGTTTAGCAAATTCAAAATTTTGACAAACCAAAACCTGGGTCCAAATTGACCTTAGTAGACTAGACCTGATGAAGCATTCCGTTGTTTTCCTACTAGTATCACACAGTACTATTGTCACACATTTATAGGTGCATTATGTAAGATTTAGATAAAGAGCTGACTGTTCTAGACATAATACTGAACAAAATAGATAATGAAAAGAGAATATGCTGAAAAGTCAATCAAATTACTTCATTCTGAGTCTAGATATCAGCGATAGAGTTACAGTGTAGCCTTGATTGTCATTACTACCATTGTTATGATAATAAACAAAGTCTTGATTATCCATTTTTACGGTATTCGCATCGACCACAAAACATATTTAAATCTACATATATCACAGCCATTAGATGGCATTGTCAGTTGATTACAAACTTTGTAAGTTAATTAATAATAAATATCGCTGAACCATTCTAATCTGTTTAATATCGGAGAAATCTGATGCCACCGAGAGTTTATTATGGTCTGGATCAGTTAGTTAATGTCTAATTAATACTTTAGAAAACATTTCAGGCCTAAAGAAAGACCTGCAATAGGCAGATTTGGCTCTTGCATAATATATGTTTAACTATATATGTTTAACTATACTGATACTTTTTATTTCAAAAATTACAAAATTCACACATGTTTTACAGGTTTGAGGTTCCAATCGCATTTCAGCAGACCAATCGCCCCGTACCTGTTGTTTACTCTCTAAATACAGACTTTCAACTCGCCAACAATCGTAAAATGTTTTTACTGGATCCAAAAACTGATATGATGGAGGCAGAAGACTGGGAATTTAATGGTTCATTCTTGCCAGGTAGATTTTAAGGATTTTTTCATATAAAACTTTTTTTTCTTTTTTTTTTCGCTTGGAAACTTCACAGTTCATTGACATTTTTCTGGGGGAATTTAATAGTTCAACTTACAGGGAATGTTGTTGTAAGGTTTTTTGCAGTGGAATTTTATAGTTGGGTTAGAGGAATGCAGGTTAGAGGAAATGAAATAGGGTTTAATGTCCTACTGTTCTGATAGGTTAGAACAATGCAGGTTAGAGGAATGTGAGTTAGGGGAATGTGGGTGTTAGAGGAATGTTGGTTAGAGGGATGTGGGCTAGAGGAATGTAGGTTAGAGGGATGTGGGTTAGAGGGATGTGGGCTAGAGGAATGTGAGTTAGAGGAATGAGGGTTAGAGGAATGCGCCTTTTTCACCAGGAAATTTATTCACTGAGGAATTTAATGTCTTCTTTTTTAAAAAGGTTGTAGGGAATTTTAAACATTTTTTTCAAAGAGAAATTTAATGGTTGTCTTTAATTGGGCATTAACAATGATTTATTATTCAATATTTGCAGGAGAGAAAATATACGGTCGTGTTTTATGGAATCCTGATCAAGATCTGAAATCTGCATATAATCTGGGCATACAGAAGGTCTATCTTTGTACTGGTGAGTTATTCCCCTTGTTCAAAAAAAAATAAAATTACTGTTTCAAATTGGGGGTGCTCAATTGTCAGTCCGGAACGTCTCGAAGTGATACAGAATTCAGTCCTGTCACAGTTCTGCCAGGGCCGACAGCTGGATGGTGTGAGTAGAATCGTGATGTTTATTAAGTAATAAATATGTTTCAGCTGTCATGATTGGTTGATATATTTTTTATGCAGTCGGCAGATGCGTTGTACTCCGAAATCTTCCTTTTCACTCGATTGACACTATTTTTGGAATTGCCGAGATTCTGGATTTGATCACATTGTTTACAGAGAGCTCCCTGGGGTTTCCAGTTTTGCTTTGCCTTGTCATTTCTTTCCAGAACGAATAGTGGGTGGCAAGCAAAAAACATCTAGTTATTCGGATGGAACAAAAAAACAAAACAAGGTCCACCTTTGTACCTGTTGGGGTGCATGTAAAATAATTTGATGAAAAGCTGTATCAGTCTGTCTGTTCTTGGTTTTTAACGTCCGCTTCCACTGAAGGTGATATTGCAGACAAGTCTTATTTTTCATTTTTATTATCTTATTGCACGCGCAGGGATCTTTCCTGTGGGAGATGTCGAAGCGCGACACTCTTGATCACTAGGCCATCCCAACCTGTGTTTATTAACTTGGTTGTATTTGTTTTGCAGGGGCCGATGGCTACATTCCAACCTATGACCCTGATGGAGAAATTTATAACAATGGACCTCAATTTGGATGTTTACAACCCAACAAGAAACTTAAACACAGATTTCTGATTTTGGCAAGTATCTTGATTCAATCTATTAGAATAGAACATGGTTTTATAAAACAAGTGGCGTAGTCAGGAGTTTTGTGACGGGGGTAGGCTGGGAGTCCATTCCCTGGCATTTGAGGTCATTGCTGGGAGCAGATTCTTGTGAACGAGAGGATCAGAAATCAGCTTTTTTACAGTCTGTCGTTCCACTAACTGGGATGTTCATCATATCCGTGAATATGATGGGGATGAGATAGTATAAGATCGCAGGGGACTTAGTGGAAGAATGATGCCATAACGCGTGAGAGGGGAGGGGTCTGTTGAACTGTTATTGTCGCATTTTGGAGCTTTATATCTGTAGATATACAACGTATAAATACAAAGATAAAATTGCTAAGAATTTTTGCAAGCCCTAGAAAAGCAAGAAGAACTAACCTTTAGACTTTTATTTTTTGCATAGTTCTAAAGGATAACAGAACTATAGCTGACATTTTCTAGTTAAACATATATTATGCAAGAGCTAAATCTGCCAATTGCAGGTCTTTCTTTAGTCCTGAAATGTTGTCTAAATTATTAATTAGACATTAATTAACTTATCCAGACCATAATCAACTCTCGATGGCATCACTAGCCTGTGATATTTACTGGATTAGAGCCCGGTCTGCTGTTTCTGATTAAATCATGGAATGGATAATCGAGACTATGTTTTTTATCATACTGACTTTAGTAATAATAATCGAGGCTAGGCCCAAAATTCTATCTATGAATACTTGGGTTATGGTGGATCAATTTGACTGACATTTTCAGTAAATTCTCTTTACATTATGTAGTTTTTAACTATTATAGTGAGAACAGCCAGCCCTTTATCTAATCTCCCATAATGTATGTTTAAATAGCAGATAAAACACAGATCGATAGAAAATCTGTGCCGACAAAATAGCATTCACCATAGAGATTGTAGCTGATAAGGCCTGAATTTGTGCCCTATGTCCAAGCTTGGAGTTAACATGGTTTATTAAATGGATGACAAGTAGATTCCAGGAATAATAAACAATTTGTTTCTATTTTTTTTTTTTATTATTTTTTTTTTTTTATAGGATCGTGGTAGTCCAGATATGGCTGACAAGTAGATTCCAGGAATAATAAACAATTTGTTTCTATTTTTTTTTTTATTATTATTTTTTTTTTTTTTTATAGGATCGTGGTAGTCCAGATATGGCTGACAAGTAGATTCCAGGAATAATAAACAATTTGTTTCTATTTTTTTTTATTTTATTATTTTTTTTTTTTTTATAGGATCGTGGTAGTCCAGATATGGCTGTCAGAGCTTTTAATGACATATCTTTTGAAGCAGAGCTAGCCTCCGAGAATCCAGATTATACAGAGCTGACATCCATGCCAGGAGTAGATGGTTTTGTACTGAGCGTTGATCCCCTATATAAGGTAATGTCATATTGTCGGCATTGATTTACCTGTTTTGTTTTGACCTTCCCAGAAAACCTTTACATTTTGAGCATCTGAGATGGCCATTCTATTTTGTCGTTCCTAGCCAATTTTTTTAGTTTTGTCTTTTGAAGGAGGCTATTCCATCTTGACTTTCCCAGATCAACATTGCTTCAAAAAGAATGTCCATTAGATTTTGACGATTTCTCCTCATAGCATTCTGCATAATATGGCGTCTGCCTGTCTTCATTCGCATGGTTGGTGCAGAAAAGTAGGATGTTAAAATATGTTTCATTACTCCAAGAACAGTGGTGCAGAACGGAGGGGGGATCACGTGGCTAAGTGGGTAAGACGCTAGCACGCTAGCCTGGAGGTCGGGTGTTCGATCCCTGCATTGGCCGAGAAAGTTCACCCAGACTTTCCGGCGTGGTTCTCCCTTGTCAGTGATGCAGGACGGAGGGGCTGACAAGGAAAGCTGTCTAGTCGTTTGGATGGGACGAAAAACCGAGGACCCGTGTACACATTGGCGTGCACGTAAAAGATCCCTTGGCAGTTGGAATTCGATATAAGAGTAGGCCGTAGTGCCGCTGTCCGGGCAAAAATTCCCTCATAGTACACTGTATGGCATATGCCCGTCTTCATTAGCCCAGGTTAGGAGCAGAACAGTAGGACGTTAAACTCCATTTCATTCATTCATTGCAGAACGGAGGGTCTCGCAAGGGATAAGAAAATTGTTCCAATGGGATGCAAAAAGATGTCCTTTGTGCACGTTAAAGATTCATTTGGCAGTTGGAATTTAATTTTAAGAGTAGGCTATAGTGCCGCTTTCCTCATAGCACACTGTATGGCGTATGCCCATCATCATTAGCTCAGTCGGAGCTAAACAGTAGGACGTTAAACCCATTTCCCTGAGACTATTCTTCATGACCTTTGTGGTAAAAAGAACCTGTCCTTGCTTGAATTCCTTCATCATTTCCTTTCTCCACATTTTAATTTTGTATAATTTCAGGTTACGAGTGGTCATCAGTGGTATATCCAAGTTCTGTATACAATAGGTCCGGCCAATCAACAGAACCTACGATTTAAACGATCGTTAATTACCAAATATAGACCTAAACGTGATGTAACAGACGATGACGATGGTCTAACATTAGAAGTTAAAAATGGAACGAATATGATAACTGTCCATTTATCTGAGGCAGCAGTAAAAGAATCGTTGGCGTTAAGCGCTATCTTAGCGCCAAGTATCATCGTAGCCATCTTAGTGATTGTCTGCGTTATAATTCTCTTCATCTTCTTGTGGAAAAGACGGAAAAATAAAAAAGAAGAGCATGTCGATGCGAAGCAAAATAATATTTTAGTAGCGGAACAAAAACAATTGTTAGAAAATAACGTAAATATTTTGACAGACTCACAAAGAACTTCTAAAAAATATTCTAATTCTAATAGAGATCTGAAACATTCAGAGTCGAGTAAAAGTTTAAGAAGTTTAAAATCGTTCGAGTCAAAGGCCACGGTTGTAGAATTAGGAGTTAAGACAAATACGATTAAAATTAAAGATGTGAATATACAATATGATAAAAATATGGACAAGAATAATGGCGCTGGTACTGAAGTTTGATATATATATATATATATTATTTGATAAATGTACATGGCGGTATTAATATGTTAAAAATATGGATGGGAATAAGGGAGCTGGCATGCACAGAGATTTGATGCTATGAATATAAACTCCTTACAGTATTTCATTTAATAAATATACTGTTGTATTAAGTCATTGTGCTGATAAAAGACTATATGAAGCTATATATTGTGTGATAAATCCATTCTACTCTGCTGTATTAAGCCATTGTTTCTGTGCTTCTATAAAGCAATTGGCATTGAGATTTGATCCTGTAGCGTTAAGTCATAGTTTCTGTGTTGATAAACGTAGACTGTTGTATTAAGCTATCAGAAGTTAAAGATGCACCAACCTTGTTACAATTCAAGAGTTTATTAAAAACACACCTGTTTAAAGAATACTATGAGACATAAAACTGTTATAGCACATAAACCAAAATGTCGTCATTAGACTTTTTGTAGTGCTATGATCATATACTTAGTGTATTTTAGTGTGTTAAAAGTGCACTATTATATTATTATTATTCTTGTATTAAGCCATCGTTTCTGTGTTTATAAAAACATGGACGTATATAAAGGAGCAGGAGGTAGTGTTAGTTCCAAGATGTTGGAAAAGACTGAAACGTGTAAATTTGACTGTCGATTGCTGTTGTGTTATTAACACCAAAAACCATTGTGAAGAGTTTGGGGGTTGGTAGTGAGTATGAAAAATGTCTTCCTAATAGATTTGATTGGTTCCAATCTGCTTCTTTGGATATATATGACTAATGCAACAAACATGGTGAAATAATCTTTTGGATGAGTGGACGGGATTTATGGACATATGAACAGTGTTCAAATAAAATTTCTTAAATCATTTTTTCATCACCACGGTAAGCTGTTCTAAAATCGAATTGAATAAGTAGCAGAAATATAGCTGACAGTACTACTGACGTGAGAGCCACCCGGAGGTTTGAACCATTTTATGTTAGAGTGCTAGTCCAGATCATTACCTACATCAGGTTGCCGTTAATCGCCCACAGTGACATGTTTAAATCGTCAGCATTGCACTAATTACTCAAAAATAATTTAACACCACATCGTGTTGAATTTTTTCTTGCCAAATTCTGATTTACTGATGTGCAAATCTTTTAAGTCAGCTGCTTGTCACTTGCTCAAACGTAATGAAAGTGTACTCATGTCCGAGGAAGATATTTCTTGCCCAAATTTTTGTTTTAAAAATAGTTTTAAATGTAACCAGGCCTTATAGAAGTGTCCAGCATTGCCTTCATGTAACCTGGCCTTGTGGCCTTCATGTAACCAGACCTTATAGAAGTGTCCAGCATTGCCTTCATGTAACCTGGCCTTGTGGCCTTCATGTAACCAGACCTTATAGAAGTGTCCAGCATTGCCTTCATGTAACCTGGCCTTGTGGCCTTCATGTAACCAGGCCTCATAGAAGTGTCCAGCATTGCCTTCATGTAACCTGGCCTCAAAGAGGTAAAGAGTGTTGAGCGGTGCCTTTATTTAACCAGGCCTTAAAGAACATAAAAGTACCTAGAGTTGCCTTTATGTAACCAGAACTTATAGAGCTGAAAAGTGCCCAGAGTTGCCGATTTAACTTAAATGAGAAAAATTGTCAGGACAGAGTTGTGTTTATGTACAACCACATCAGTAAACTGTGTTACTAACTGTATAGTCTTGATGACTGTTAATACTCAAGCACCAGATTTGATTTTTTGATTTATATGAATTATACAAGCATTTTTTCTAATTAAGATTTAATTTTGTTAGTGGAATGTGCGATGTGACTTGTGTAAAATGTGCTTCAGCTAAACATCATAGATGTGTTTGTTGTAAGACTGGACAATTCAGACTAGACATGTTAAAGGTGTTTGCTGTAAGACTGAATAGTTCAGACTAGATATTTTTTAAGAGAAGATAAAATTGTGATATGATCTGTTGTGATCTGTGTAATTATCTCCCCCTTAATGATGTTACTTTATAACTGGGAATGCTCGATTATACGTTCAGGAATTGAG